TCCCTTCCCAACCAACGCGCACGCGCTCGCACCCACCGAGTGGTTTCCTCGGTGGTGTTGATAGTGAGCAACGAAATATTTTGCGTGTCCACCTAGGTGGTATCCAGGCTTGGATACCATTAGCCACACAGATACCTTCAAAATGCAATAACCATCCCTCCACGTCCTCTTCTAGGTCAACCTCCAAGAATGTGCATGACAACAACTTTATGTGCAAGTTTCCCGCGCACGTTCAACTGCTCACTTCTAGACTCTGAGTCCCAAATAGGTCAACCCGTTCCTACCAATGAACCACTCTGACTTTCCTTGCTTCGACAGGATCCCTCCCCTTGTTCACAAGCAGTGGACTCTCACTCAACCAACGCCATCGCCCCATTCGCCACTATTTATTGACCCAAACACTTCCCTTGCACTTCCCACTAGACCCTAGTAATACACTAACCCTTGCCACCCGGTCTCCCACTTCCCGTTGGTGCACCCTACCCTGTAGTCTCCCTTAGTCGCCCCTATTTCTGTCCATCTAGCCATACTAACACGAAGTCACCCGTAGCCCTGCCAGACCTAGTACCCTAACTGCCCATTACCATATTCCCATCCCCCCCTTTACCATTCCCTAATTGACCGACCGATGTTCTGCCATTTCGCAGGCGCAAAACCCTCATTCCCTTACATGTGTTAGTGTTGTTTTAGAATATGTAGCATTGGCATTTGTTTCATGTGGAACAGCTGAGGTTTTGCTGAGGATTTGCATTGTATTGTTTGTAGGTTTTGAGCAAGGGACCTCGCTACACATTGGTGGTTTGCTTTAGATTAGCTTGAGCTATGAATTAAAGTGCAAGAAATAAAATATACTATCATGGATGCAGTATCTTATTGTGAGCGATTGCGAGAAAAGTTCATTTAGTGCTTACTGCAATAGTTCCCATTTTAGCATGAAGAGCCGGAGCCCTTGTAGTTCAAACCATTTCTATGCATGTCTATTTATTAGTAGGAAAGAACACCCTCAACAACATCAAACTTTCTGAGCAATCATGCACACAGGCTGACACATATCTGTGCAACACCATATAATCAAAATGTTGCTAGCTACAATATATTTGCAAGACGAAGCAAATATCAAACGTAGCCTTGTTGTTTATTCTGTAATTGATTGATACGTAGTCGCCATTTGTCATCCTCTATTTGTTATGCATTTTGAATGCAGTGGACTGTATACACTAATGATTGTTTACCAACTTGCATCCTTAAGTCGGTGTTGAGCAGTGCACAATATAGACTAAAAATGCTTTCTTACTAAGTACCCTCATTTTTACAGCAGGAATAGTGGCACTTCTCCAGACTATAAGAGATTAGGAGAGCGATGTGAGAGCGTCTTTGACAGAGGCTAGTCTGTGGTGACCGGTGGCAATGACAACCACGCAAAATTGAGCGAGGTGATATGCAAGAATTGCATGTTGTAAGAGAGGATCTTGGTGGCTATGAAGACTGTGGAAAGGGCGCTTGACGAGAAAAGAAGCAAGCGGAATTAGTGTTTGTATTGAGGACCGCGAACCACGGTGCATGCTCGCTGGTGGTGAGAAGGTGGAGTAACAACTGTCGGTTTGTGGGTCAGCGTACCCAGGGAGCGATTGTCCAATGATGAAATATCTTGGTGTTGATGTAGTTTCAGTGTGCTTGGCTTTCACTGGACAAGCTGACTTTCACAATTGCGCGGACGCATATTTGAATGCATGGTGGGGCAAGGGTGAAAGGTGTGCAGGATGGTGGAGAGCGCATTGACATTAGTGGCTGGTCGTGGTGCATAACGTTGGTGCCCTGGCGAGAGTCCCAAAAGTGGACTGCAGCGTCAGGGTGGGTTGCGGGATCGATCAGCAAAGAACTAGGCACACTTGCTGAGAGAGTTGTGACCGAAGCATTTATAAGTGTCACGTTTAGAAGTGTGTAGTGTTGCAATTTGCGATTCTGTGCACTTCGGTCGCTAGAACGAATGTTCGTTGGACATGGACGGGCACTGGATGGTACGCTAGGGTGACATGCGGGTCAGTTCATGGGATGGTGAACAGCTTCCGGAACAGCTTTTGTTATGTTTGTTTATATGGACTAATGATGGGAAGCAGACTTGCGCAGAGAAAAGTATGTGGAAACTTCAACTGACCCAATCAATGGAATTAAATCGATTTGTATCGAAGCACGGAGTTGGGCTGCCTGGTGGGCACTTAGATTGTTGCACATACACGTGCCGTTGGCGTTGTCACGATCATTCAAAAATAGTTGATCAGGATTCATCCGGATTGCCACAACAGAGCTGCATTGCAAACACAGGACCTGACCAACTGCAAACACAGGGACTGATCCTCAGCTTTGTGGCGCCATGGGCGCTGGCAATCGTTGATAGTTTTGGTCGCTTTTTCAACGACCATTGTAGGGCGGGCCGGAAATTTGTCAGCGTCGCACGAGTCTCGCCCCATGCATCGTTGCCCTGCAAACCAACACCATAATCGCTTGCATTTGCTTCCTCAACAACTCAATCCACCCGTCTCTCCAATCCCCCACATTTTCGAAACACTCCCCGTGCGATGCAACATTTCATGGGACACCGCCTTACCTGTGCCGCGTTCTTGCTTCAGTTGCGGAATTGCCAGTCGTCGCTTGTTGCCGAACGCTTGTCGTTCATGGCGTGCACGTTCGGCCTACGCACTGGCCCATCCTGACCATCAAACGCGCTCGATGTGCGATTACCTCGCTGGCAGCTTTTCTTCGCCCTTCCTCATATGCCCGTTTCCCTCCACACACCCTCACGCACAATTACAAAGCAGAGACGCCTTCCTTGCTTCCTCATCAGCGCAATCCTGCTGCCCCTCCAACCCCAACGCCTTCCACACACACACCACGGGAAGCATTGAGTGGCTACTTGTACTGAGCGAGGCAGTGCTATCTTCTCGGAGATCGTGGAGGTATTCAAGTCTTGATATCTAGAATTTGGTGGTGGTTCATCATGATACCAGCAACGCCATTCAGTAATACTTAACCCCTGTCGCGTTTCTTCACACGCTTTGTGAGCCTACAATCTTTCGTTCATCTGAGAAGCAGGTGCCCTGTCGTGCACCACAACTGTACTCATGCATATAGCCGCATTTCATGAAACGGTGCTTTACATGCACTGCCATCTTGCTCGAGCTGCGGCGCTGCTTGCTAGCTGCCTGTCCACAAGCGTCCCCTGGTCCTCCCCACTCTGTCTTCGCCTGCGCCATGGACACACACCCGTCAGCGCAGTCCAGAAGACCGGAGCAGCGATGGAGTGCGTGTCATAGCATCCGCATCAGCTGCCCGCGTGGATGCCGTAGCGTGCACGCGGCTGGCTATTCCGTATCTCCCGCCTGCTCCAGCGGATCCCAGCCCTGCATGCAACCGGCGGGGACGTGGAACGAAAGTGCGCGGGCATGCCGGCACAAACGCCTGCATGCAAAATTCAGGATCGCGTCCAGGGTCCTGGCGCCGGCGTCGCGGGATCTAGTCATGCCCCGTCGTGGGCTCATGTGAGACATGGGGATTGAGGGTTGGGACCGATTTTTCTTCACTACATACACTGAACATAGTCCATGGGGATTGTATTATTCACGCCATCTCACTGCATTTCATGGCGCAATGGGGTGTGGCAACATGGGATCATGAACAATCGATTCCGAACAGACTATCTGCCTGGTTTTAACCCCCCACCATCCTACCAGGTGCGCGGGGTGCGTTGTGTCATTTTGTGGCAAATGCAATCCATGGATTTTGATTATGATGCCCCGCAGCCCGACTCGTTTGCTCGCAAAGGCAGTGCTGACGGCCGCGGCACTGTGGCAGTGCTTTGGGCAATAGTGCGCGCCCCCGCCATATGAAAATAGTTACAAAACAGGACCGGTTTATAACAAGATGTGCTGATTCCAATTAAGAAGATCAGAATCGCTCGACTTAGTCCCATGTGAACATGATGTTCACCACGGATGCACGAGTTTTCAATACAGCAATCTAACATCACTGCAATGCGGATAGAAATTCTGTGAAATGAGCAATGTAGTTGCCTGTGGCAGTTGGTGCTGGGTGTTCATTATGGCTGTACTTACTCTATGGCGCAATTCAAATTGGGAATGAAGATTTCAAATTCACCACTTCTTGAGAATATTTTGAGGGACCGCGAGCTCTTGAGCTCTCCAAACAATCCCCCGAGAATTGCGACATCTCTCGATATTCGTACTGAGCGAGGCAATGCTTTTTTTCTGGGAGATCGTGGAGGTATTAAGGTCTTGATATCGTTGTTGACCTCTAGAATTTGGTTGTGGTTCGCCATGATACCAGCAACGTCGGTCAGCAATACTTATCCCCTGTCGCGTTTCTTCACATGGTTTGTGAGCATACACTCATTCGTTCATCTGAGAAGCAGGTACCCCGTCGCGCACCACAACCTTACTCACGCATCCCAAGGGCCCCGACTGCAAGTGCACCAATGCCTCTATTCCCGTTCTCCCCTTTCTGCTCCCATGGCACCAAGGCACAGAACGTGTTGGACGACCAAACAACGTACCCTCAAATGTGCAGCCCTACGAACTCTTCTACATCCGGGTCTCCAACATTGCAAAGACAATTCCCACGGTCCCTTATGCGCATGCACAAAACCAGCCCATTGTCGTGCAGGAAGGAACCTGGCAAAATCTTGATCATCAGACACGATCGGCACACCAGGGCGTCTGATAAACCTCCACAAGGCACCACCAAAATTCCATTAAGCTCCATTATGCTCTGGTACGTTTATATAGAGCTGCATTAAACTCCATGCAAGCTCCATCACATAAAGCTCCATTGAGCGCCATTAAAGCTCCGATAAGCGCCATTAGGCTCCATACGAAGCTCCACTAGGATACGCAGAGAGCTCCATCGAAACTCCACAAGCCTCCATATGATAGAGCCCCCATGAAGCGCCGTTATTCAATCGAAAGCTAATGGAGGTCCACGTTCTGCTAGAAGAGATTAGCGTCTGGTTGGAGGGCATCGCCCACGTAACAGTTGGCCTCCTCGAAGGGAGGGCTTCCGTCCAACGGACAGATCATGAGCGTGAAATTTTGGCTGCCGCGGAAAAGGCAAGTGGCCTCTGTGGTGGGCCGCACAGTAGTCATGCAGCCGCCGTTGTTGAAAAGGGGGGCGCATGAGTAAGCGGCACTGCCTGCAAAAAAGCTCGCCTCCAGGTCAGCGATCCAGTACGTGGTGCGTCAAGCAATAAAGCGGTTGTGCAAAACAGTGAGGAACGAAAACCAATGATCACCACAATAGAATGAAATGTGATGAAAGGAATGAAGCAGCAGCAACAATAACTCAAATCTCTAAAAGTGGCTCGAAGTTGTAGCAAGACGACAGAGGAACGAACTACGGTACCAGCTGCTTGAAAATTGCTTCTGTAGAACAATGGTCAAAATAGTGCCAGTTCCTTCTTTGAACATAACGAAATCGCCCTACGGTGTGAAAGACTTTGGCTGGTTATCTGTGAGAAATGTAATCACCAAGGCTGCTGCCAGTTCGGAAAGCAGTGAATTTGAAATCCACCGGCCTGATCATGACCGTGCGAGGTGTTGCTGGATGCCGCTGAGCTGAGGTACACGTATGTCTACTGTATGCCTTCAGAGCCCCCTTACCTTGGACAAAAATGGACGCTGAAATTGCCAGCATCAAGGCCGATATCTGTGTCAACAAAGGCACGTGTTAGTAACAAGGTGCATGCGAGCGTCTGGCAAAAAGTTTGGCGCTACAATTGAGCTGGAATATCCTCTGCCAAGCATGAACTGTACAGTTGTGGCCTCCATTCTCACCTCAAAAGATGGCCACTTTCTATGCTCCTGCTTCTGGAATGCAAGCTGGTGCACATGCTGACTAGTGCTTCCATCAGTACGTATCGACGAACATACACAATTGCAGACACTCCATCAATAAAATGTCTGCAGAACATACCTTGGTAGTCCGTCACAAGGACCAGATTGCCTAGACAGTTTCGTTAAGTGGTTTCCTTGGTCCTTTTCTACTACCACGTGGTTACTGTGGCGCTTTGCAGCGCCAGCGAAAGACAACAATTGAAGATTGATAGACATTGGATATTAGTTTCCAATTGGTAAGGTCCCTGGGCGCTCTTCGCTGTCAAATTCAAGTTGCAGCGCTTCTCAAATGATAGTACACCTCGAATGACACCCAAAACCAACATGTTGCCTGCAGAGCAAAAAGCGCTTTCTTGCTGCATCCGAAGCGCTCACAATAGTTGAGAGGGCCGCTTGATCATTCGCTTTCCAAAAACAATGCACTTAGGCAGAAGCGCAAATCTCAGATAAGCGAACACGTTGTGGGTCAATCATTGTGGTTCTGCTTTTCAGCAAACACGGTGAATCAATGTAACCCAAAATGCAACGTGAGCATACGATACATTGGTAATAATACGTGCCTCTACTGACCTCAACTCGTCAGACAACATCAGGTTTCTAGCGATCCATACAGAGCCTGACAATGCCTGGCAAAACAACACCTAGATCCTCAAGCCAGCCAGCATAGGCAGGACACGAACAAGAATCTGAATAGCGGTGGAGGGCAAAGGAGTATCAATATACTGAGACCGAAATGCGCAACTCACCGGGTGGTTGAACTCAGCAAACAGTGCTACACACCATGCTGTGAAGTAATGGTGTATGTGCACATTGCAGTAATGGCTGTGTCCAAGATACACAGCCGCCACCACATAAAATCTGCAATGCCACACCACATCAAGTGGGCAAGGATAAGACACGGGGCCTGGCGCTGGCAATCCTAAACAAATGAATACAAGCAACGCTCAACAATTGCGACACGCCAGTGCACATGCCTCCTCCCTTGGCGAGTCCCCCCGGCTTAAAAGAAGGCTATTCTATGCCCATTGTCGCCATTCCCATTGACGGCAATCTGATGCGAGTGTTATCAGTTGACTTCGGGTGCTCGTGCCCTTGTCAGATTGTTTTCACATTGCAGAATCACCAATTGCTCTATTGCTCAGTACCCTGAAGAGTTGCATCCCGTGTTTGTCATCATCTCTGCATGATATCAGCAAATGATCCCAGTTGAAGATGCAATTTTGTTAGCTATAATATTGGGAGCATTGCAAAGACCTAATGTTGCCTATGTGCTGTGCAGATTGCCTGTTATGTCCCCCTTCCATGAAATAGCGTGCCTGCTTCATCGCAGGAGCGACAGAAAAGCCACACAATGTTTAGACAGTTGTGCCAACCTGAAGTGGCAAAGCAACACAACAATTCACCACAGTTGCTGCCACAAGGCCATAAGGATGTTATTGCAACAACATTGTTGTCGAAAGGCCTCCATTGTGATTGTCCTATGAGCTGGTGAGTCATGCTTTGCTGCTTGCATTTTACAACAAACGTCCAACCCAGAGCCCAATGGTAAGGGTCCAACAAAAACGAGACAACCCACTAAGACTCCCAACTGTTGGGAGTTGTTCACTGGAAGCACATTGTGTGCATTTTTCTGTTACAGAAAAATGAACATGAACAAGCGATTCAGAGGGTTGAATCACAGGCTGCCCAATTGCAACACCCTCCTGACGACCTTGACGACATCTCTCTGATTCAGCTTGCCACAGATTGCTGACATGATTCCTAAGGGAACGTAGTTCAAACCCTATATTCTCAAGGGGTCTAGTCCCACAAGGCATCCACCTTTTCACTACAGCATACACTGGCCAAGAATTCCCTCTCAAACTAGTAGATTCTCAGCAGGAGCCAGGTGCCAGAAAATTAGAGAACAATAATGCCAAATTTATGGAAGCGAGGGGACCAAGAATCTGCCATAAATTCCAAAGAACCCACAGAATTGCTCTCTCCGGTGAAGGCTCTTCTGGCTCTCTCAAAGCTTCCTTCCTCAGCATCAACACGTCATCAGGGTACTCACAATTTCTAGGATGATGCAGCGGCCAATGAATCTCCTTGACAATTTTTTTATAGCCTTCTCTTGTTCACCACTAGTCATTGCATAGAAGTAGTCAACTCAACCTCAACTTCGTCCTCAACCCTGCTTTCCGAACATCTTCTCAGCACTCCTAAAAGCTGCCTCTTGTTGCCTTCTTTGCTTTTTTTGCTCGCAGAAAAATTGCTCTTCTTGTCAGTCACAACTTTAACAAACTCTCTCCAGCTGTCTCTAATCTTCTTGATGTCTTCTTGACCGAACGGTTGAACAGTTTGGTCTCCAAAGAGAAACTCAAACCTCTCTTTCACATGTGTTCCAGGTAGGGTTGTAGGGAGCTGCTTCACAAGTGGCGTTTCATCACCGGTCATCTCTTGAGACTAATCAGAACGTCCCCTCGTAGCCCAGCCATCTAATCCCTAACTTTGTAGGTGACGTCTAGCGTCAGCCGACATCAAAGCTCCATTCGTCGCCCTCCAAAACTACTGAAAATTTGTCCAGCCTGTCGCCAGCACCTCAGAAGACCCCTCAAAGCTTTACTACCATTGCGCACTGATGGTTGACCAGAAAACTTTTTCCAAACCACTTCACAATCATACCGCAGGCAGCAAAGACATTGTAGGGCAACTGCCAGTGCTCTACCTTATTTTCTGGCACGGCAACGTTTCTGAACTTAGCAAACATACTCGCCAATGTTCCAAGGATCCAAGAGAGGTTCTTGGGACCCGAGCACACCCTCGCGGGCTAGTCACAACGCCGAACACACGATTCGAAAACAACGCAGCTAGTCGCAATTGCTGGATGGCAGGGCTGCACTTTCTCTCGAGTCACGAATGTTCAAGGCGCCTTGACGCATTTGGGAAGCAACACACACCGTCCCCACAGCTGTTCACAATATGGACGGTCCTTAGATCAATACACGGTTGCCTCATGAAGCGTTCCTCATGGTGCAAATGTGGGCCAAAGCCTTTACACAACGAGCCATCCATTCCTCTCCCCCTTACAACACTGCCCTCTGTCCCACCATTGCAAACAAGCAACTACTGCACTCTATAAGTAGCCCATGACACTTCCTCATACTGCCAAAGCATCAACGAATACTCTTGGCTCAACTCAGAATAATTCAACTTCCAAAGTAGTACAGAAAAACAATACAACTACCTAACAAGCTTCTAAAAATCCTTTGATATCACTTCTCAACCAGTTCAAGACCAATCACCTCTGATTTGGTGATGGTTGACTCAGAGCCCATCAAATCTTATAAAAAATATAATAACATATCAATGATATGTTCAATGATATGATATCATCCTAAGGATATTCCATGCGACACTCCAACATTCCTCATAATCTACAGAGTCTGTACCTCACCTCGAGCACTACCATGAATTGATCATATTCAATTGAATTCCAATATTATTGAATTTGCCTGATATGCCCCTTTGTAACTTTCGGGCAATACAACCAGAAATGGCGCAAAAATATCAAAAGCATTGCCCAATTCATGATTAAGCCCTCCCTTAGATTAGATTCCACTAGTGCAGCAAATTGCATTGAGTCCAGTCATTACTCTAAACAACATTCATTGCACTTGTTTAGTACTCATCACACAGCCGGTCAAAAATCTTCTTTGAATCAGTTACTAACTCAGAAAAATATGCACTTTTGCCCAGAATGTATTAGCCTATTCTAACATCATTGAGTTTATAATGGAGCCATTGCAACTGCGAACCCCGACAATCTGTCAGGCTAGTGTAAGGCCTTACAACTTTTAGTAATTGGTTGCTTTTGACTTACTTCTCATCCCAGAATATAAACATCCTTACTGCAACTCCTATTGATTGCTCATACCAAGAATTAGCATACTTTGAGGCCACCAAATTCTTGTTCTAATCACCAACTCTTTGCAGCTGTAAATTCCAAACTTTTTGCAACATTCCCCCTTGATGTTAGTATCCCTTTTAGCAACAAAATAGACTTCTGAGTACCCCAACTATGTGCCAAATGACTTCCGATTAATTCCATTGCAAATGGTGGTGTTACGGCTAGAACTGATTGAGTGTTATTAATAACTGAATGTATGAAAAGATGACGAAGCACTAAGGATTGCATTAGGGATGTTGATGAACGGACTGGGTATAAAGGACAGAACGTCTGTTGTCCTTTTGCCTCGGCTGTAAACCGTTGCCGTGGACTCGAGCGTACAATTCCCGTTCAGGGATCGCCACCCCTCGACCCTGCCTGCCTTCGTCAGTGGTATGTGCAGATCTTAAAATTTCATTTTGATTGCTTAACTATCATAGTTGTAAGTATCAAAAATTCACAGCCGAATGCTATGACCCACCTGCTAAACCTCTTGCACGCCTATTCCTATCCTCAGAGGTCAATCTTGATTACCTCCTAGCCATCTATCATGGTGGTAGCAGCTGCTAACTGGCCCTCCTCCAACTCCTCGGCAACTTCTTGCCAACAATTCTGTTGGCCAAGAAACACCAGCGTCTCCAGTGGCCCCATCCATTTGTCCACTTGCTTGGAGCTTCCAGTTGCTAATCTTCCTATATACAACTCCTTCTTGCTGTTCTTGCTGCCAAAACCGCTCTTGTATAGGAGCCTCTTGTTGTTGCAACTGCTCAACAACTTCCTATTGCTCCAATTGGTATTGCATTATAGGCTCCTAGTAATCCGAGTCCCATGCTATGTCCAGCAACCCATTCCTCATAAACTCGGCCTATCCCACGCAATTTCTCCCTCCACTTTCTTGGATTTTCCTTGCTCAACTACTCTTTTGAAGTACCCACTACGTTGTACACTGATTGCTCCCTTGAAATGCAAATTGACAAAGATTACATTTTCCGTCTATTGTACACCAAAGGCAATCTTGTTTGCCATAGCAATTCTTGTCACCTGGCTATCTTTCCCAACAAGCTCCACACCCAAAAATGACCTCCTTGTGGGCCTCCTTGGGAGCTATTCCTGCACCCACAAGGAGGTCTAGCTTCTCCCATTACCGTCGCTTCGCCTTTCCTGACATCCGGCTTCTCTCTTCCTGCCAATCCGCTATCTCACGCCATGTTCCTCGTTGTCGGCTTCCCTTCGGACCCCCGCCGTCGCGAGGGGGCCTCCGATGCGCGGGGTGGTTAGCCGCTCGATGCTCCGCCTCCGCCGGGTCCGAATCGTCGGACTGCGCGTGCTGGGCACGGCGCTCGTGGCGGTATGCTCGGGGACAGGCGGACTCGCGGGCTCCGCCGGCCAGGTCGGCCGAGGTCGCGGGGTCAGGTCGCGGGCGCAGTTTGCTTGCGCGAGAAAGGATCATTACTACACCGCACTCACCACATAAGTACGGTGGTAAGCTCGCGGGCCACCTGTGCGGAAAGAACTCGTGTCATGGCACCCACACCGGTGCCTTAGTGTACTGTCATTGTACCCATACACTCCATATTCTAGTAATAAATGTCCTGTCTGCTTATAATCTGATACTCGTGCACTGTCAGATTGCGCTCGTACCAACTCCCCTCGTGGTACCTAGCAAGTGGAGAAGTACAGATTGTACTACCTTTACTGTATTGTACAATAGCGGTCCCTATATAGTGCCACTCTGATAGCACCCCCAGCCCCCAATAGCGCCCTCTTTTTTGGCTTGTCAACATTTTTGTAGTACTTTATGCAACTTCACTGCGCAGTGGGTCCTCATGCTACTATTGCGGACAACCAAACACACCCAAAAGAGGTGTCTGGTTGACGGATGGCATGGTGGCCATCTGTTTCCATGAGCTTGGCATATAGCAGATGGGCGGACGGCACGTCTGGTGTGTCCGCTGTGGGGCCCGGGCCCAAGGCCTCCCCGGGAGGCCAAGGGAAGTGTGCGTTCCAAGGCGGATCTCCATCTATGTACAGGGAAGTGGGCACTGCCCGCCTAGGCTCCTTGCAACCAACAGAATAGAGGGATAGGGAGGGGTGCCCAATGTTGTGGCGTCCATTCTTTCTCTCTCATCACCATCATACGGATCTATCTCCATATCCCTGCCGGAATCCTTATCGCTACTAGAAGTTCCATCTTCCATTAAATCCGGGTCACAGGGGCTTCCATGATCATAGTCGCCTTCATCGCCATCAAAAAAACTCTTAATCGGTTGCTTTGGCATCACAACCAATCTCCGCACTTTGATGCTTGCACTGGCCGACAGGTTGTGCAATGGCGCCTTAAACAACAACCTCCCCCTTGCAAATCCTTACCACACGAGCAAGATCCGCATCATGCATGCAAGGCAACTATGAACGCCACTGACCCCAACACTGATTTGGCAGGCCAGGCACACTAGTCGTGCAGCCATTGCATGCTTGTGATAATCACAACAATGCCGCCACATTGCTGCGCCGCCACGATGCTGTGCCGCCATGTCGCCATGCCACTACGCTGCCATGTTGCCACCCCGCCATACTGCCACCCTGCCACATTGCCACACCGCCATGCTTCCACATTGTCACGATGCCACGCTGCTGCGCAGGCACATTGCCACTTGACGCCATTGCCAAGCATTGCCACAGCGCCTACACACCATTATTTAAGGCTATATTGACTAAATCTATTATTTAATATATTAAAACAAAGTTAACAACACAACAACGCTCTGGCCCCCCAATAGCCCCCCCTTGTGGCCATGTAAAGGGAGGGGGGGTATATAAGGACCCTTACTATACCCTAGAACTAAAGCCACGCCTTCAAATATGACGTGGCCAATAGCTCCCACCCGAGGTTCGCTAACCAAAGGAATAGAAACATATGGACCTTACAATAGCCCTTGGTCAATGGCAAAGGGATGGTGTTGATGCATCAATCAAAGTACGGGGCAGAGCATTGAACAAGTCCACCTCTGCATGCGTCCATGCAACCTACCAATGCACATCTCATAGGCTAGCATCTGCTTGGAGAGTATGGCACATGCTTTGCAAGTGCTCGAAGGCCCAACGAGGAGTTGGAACAGCCGCTACCACCAATACCTCGATCAAGAGGCGTAGCGGCAACAACGTTCTCCCCATCCGCCAGCTCCAAGGCAGGCGTTGAGGGCTGAACCCATTCGAGCAGCATGCCGTCCGCCCCTTTGATTGTGTCCCATAGCTCTCATTGCTATATGACCGAATGGCCATTACACCACATCGACTTCATTGCCAGCAAGGTCACTGAAGCTCCCTCGCCGTTCGCAACCGGGGCCAACGCCACAAATTCGTCGCCCTAGTCCATGCCTTCTATTCGAGTCGACCACGACATGAGGAGCAACCCGATGGACCAAGTTCTGCCTGCTTGCACGCTCCCACGGGGGGCCAGGCAGCTCACTGCACATTGCACTTAGCTGCAACACGTGATCAAACTCCAAGAGGCCAGTTCAGGACGGTCCGTTTAATGTAACGAAATGTGAAGCCAACAATAGATGTGTCGTACTGCAATGCATGTGCATTGTGTACGGCATATGTCAACATGTCCGCTGGTAGTTTTTAGTTTTATTTCTCGTTCCTAGATATGTCCATTCTACCAGTGTGACCTGCTGGTCTTTCAAACACCCAAAACGTACTCCAAATCCTCTTAACCTACTCCTGTCCAAAGTGACTGCAAATTGGAACCCAATTACCATCATACAAACTCTAGTTCCACGTCCAATTGGGCAATACGACTATCAGTCAACTATGGTGCCATTCTCCAATGTTCCTCAAATAGCCTACTGCATCAATCAACCCGTTGACTATCCCAATGACAGAAAACAAATTGCCCTATGTATTGCATCAAAGTCCTCAAGCTTTTGTGATGGCTTGTTTGTCCAATCTCAAGGCAATACCGTTGGACGTCCCTCATCTGCCTATGGTCCATCTCCTAGTGATCCCCATGCCCCTATACGATGGAATTTACCCCTAAACTATTATGCACTTATGTCCTGAACTAGGACATGTTTCTAATGCCATTCTCTCCATCAGAAACGTTGTTAATCACAGCGCATGATGCATTGCGGTTGAATAAATGAAAAATAGCAGCCTCACAGTGTCCAAACTCAATGAAAACCCGTCGCAATTCTTACCAGAATTCAATTGTTCACTTTGGTAAAACGTTATGCAACATTTCAGCAGTTCTTTCACTGTCATTTTCATAGATTCTAGTCCATATTGTTTCCCAAACTGCCGCACAGTCCTGCTGCCATAAGTGTTGCATTTTTTCAAAATTTTGGCAGCATCTCCCCCTCCTTTTCCTTACTTTTAGTACTCAAGCATTGTGCATAATGTTCTAATCCATTTTCTATCTATTCTAGCTGTATTCCGGGAAAACTTGGCAGCGTTTCCCCTAAGCTTTCGGCCTTTCACCATCTGGTATGTCTCCTATCTCTTTCGTACTGCTTTAGGACCATTTCTGCATGGTCCTTGAGGCAGTAAAGTGCCTCTAAAAAGTGTGAGCAGCATCTCTGTGTGGCCTTTGAGTGTTTTCAATGTCTCCATGTCACTCTTTTCCTCCTGGTGCCCAGAAACGGGCTGGCCATTTTTACCAACTATCAGCTAATATTGCGCAGATATTCAGCCTGCTTTTTGCTTTTCGCAGCTCTGGGCGGCTGTCCATGTCCAGCTGACTACAATATGGTGTAGTGACACCCAGTCAGTCCCCTTTTGTCGGTCATGAGCCCGTCATTGGGTGAGGTGCTTAATGACTAACGGCGAGTTTAATATTGTGCTGTGTTGGATGCACACTTCTTGCTGGAAGATCATCGTGTAGGTGCAAGAGCTGCGTTGTGTTTTCTTTCTGTACAATGGTGAAGTGTTACAGTGACGGCAAATGCAAGTGCTATAGTAATGACAAAGAAACTTAGTAATCCATGATGGATATGCATACTGGTGAATGTTAAAGTTATGATTGGAAAGAAACGAGAGAGCAAGAGCAACTGGCAGCGTCTGACCAATGCAACACTGTGAATACATGTTTGGGATATGTGTCGCCGTCAATGGGAAATTCACTGCTATGGCAGGGTGGATACCTGCTGGGGTACTGCCAGAATAACAACAATTATTCACAACAAATGCACAGATTGTCCAGACTTTGAGCACCATTGGCTGTAGCACAACTGCCAAGTACTGTGTTTATTGTCCTTCATTGCCTCATGGGTCCTTGTCCAGAGCTCAGCCTATTCAGCAGATAACACAAGTGGAGCACTTCCTATGCACCACTTACCCAAAAACGAATAGCCTCGCAATCAGATAGACAAGGGCACCAGCTGTCGTCTGGCGCCTCATGGCCAGGTAGAAATGGACAAGCAGGAAGATCACAGCCACTCCGCCCACTATGGCCACGCGCACAGCATCTTCAGTTTTGGCATCCAACGGTGCTCGATGAAGATCGCATTCTGGATGATCTGCCAGCTGAACTATGCACCAGAATACCCCCGAAAGGTGGGAGGCATGCATTGTGCCAGTGTACAACAATGCAATCAGATAGCTTACACAGCAACCACAGCCGCATCCTCACTGCATAGAGTTTGCACAACGATCACCTGTGTGCAATGTGCTGCCTACTATGATCGCAAATGCTGATCAGAACTGAACAGTTACCGGATACATTCTCTGTGCAGCAGCATTCTGCACACATCACAGCATTCATTCCAAGGATGTTCAAGCTCCTGATTTTGTTAATCTGGGTGGGTAGTGTCGTACACGATCCTACTGCAGCCCACATGCCAGGGCCCCAGTTGGCGATGTCCTCCATGCTGTGCTCCATGCAGCCGTAGTCACTCACATATGAGTACACAGGGCTGGTCCCAAAGTAAACAACAAAGAAGTACCACCGTCTCCTGCACAGCACCATGACACAAAAACACATGCACACGTGTCCGTTTATGAGCACACAACCAAGTGCACACATCCAAATGGCGATTCTTGTGCTGGGTTGAAATGCTGTCGCGACGGACACTGCAGCAAACAGTGACGACATATATTCAGGGAAAGTAAACTATTGTCAGGTGCTGTGGACACCTCTGGAGCACATGCTGCTTTCAGGCATGCAGCTTATCTTGGTTCCATCCTGCCGTCAATGGCTCTGACAGCGTTGTAAATTGTAAAGAGCCCAACAGATTCTTGCAAGCAGGGGTTTCTCCACTGTTTTGCAAGTTCTATGACATTTTATACACAGTGCCAGAAGTACAAGTGCATGAACACGTGGGCACATATGCCCACAGGTGCTTCAAATGCACAGTGTACGGGCTGAAGGTGCCGTGACTCAAAAAATTGTCAGCAATGCCAATTGCTGGACTGCACAACATGGATGTGGAGTTGACCAATCAGGGGCACAACAGGCGGTTTCAGACACTATCGCACCAATCAAAGGGGTAGTCATGCTCCCTCTCGTTCTATGAGCAGAAACAAAGGCACAACCTTGGCCACAGTGTGCCGTTGTGGCACAAACTACACCTCTGCATCACTTCCTATGCCCTATGCAATCAGACACTTCTGCACTCTCCTCCATACCATGGAAAACAGTCTTGCAGAATATATGGCTGGGGGGAAAGGGGGTGGGGGGGTTGGGGGAGAAGGGGGCCTTGAACGCAACCTTTGCTGTCTGAAACTGAAAGCCTCAATTCCTGTGAATTTCATTCAAACTCACCAACTGAAGAGCCAAATGAATCGGTCGTGGTCGGTGATGTTGATGAACCAACCCAGCAAGAACCCAAACAGTAAAAAGTGCGACAGCGTTTCGTACATCAGATGCCTGTCAAAGGTGTCAGCATCTGATGGCATCGACAGTGTTTCTGCCAGAACCCTGGTTAGCGCAAACTGGAGCACCAACAGTCCAGACCACGCCCCCTATCAATACAAGCACCACATCTGTTTCAGTTGTGAAGGGGACACCAGAAACAGCTATGGATCAATTAGTGGTCTGGACGCACATCTTCCAGGTGTTTGGACAGTGTGTTGTTGTGACTTTGGCAGTCTTGAAACAGAAAGTTATGTGGCTTAGTGCATCAGTACTGTGGTGTGGTGCATTTTGCCTGCATATGCTGAGATCAAAGCCTTGCTGTGGCATTGTGCTGTGCTATGCTGTATGAATGTGCTCCAGTGCTGTGCATGAACACTTTGCTCTGATATCAGACACTGGCCTTTTCTTTTCTGGACACTGGCAGCTCTTGGGGCGTATTTGTGCAGGTGCAGCGATCTGTCATATCCTGCGACAAATGCAACGGCCATGATTTGGTACCATGCACCCATGTTTTCTGTCGTTACTTCATGGCAGCACTGTCCCCAAATCCTTCAAACACTGTGTGCAATAACATAAAACTTATAGCGGTGGTCATGACTGGTCTACACTCTGTAGCAGTGGTTGATGGCAAATGGCATATGCCATGACGTCTGCTGAAGTGTTTTTCCAATTTACATTGGGGTGGTTTATGGTATTGGTAGTACACTCACCATGTAGATATATTTCAATGAATCAGCGTCCCACAGATGAGATAGCCGTGGTAGAGTGGGAGGAAGGGCGCCATCTTGCAGCAAGGGCACAGCCTGCAGCAGAATATGTTTACAGCAATGTCAGCCCAGCCTTGAACGCTCAAGGATAAAAGCAATTCTCCCATAACTCTCCAGGATGCCAGAATGTTCTGTGATGAGGAGGATCATAAATTTTCTCCCACAAACCTTGTGGATGGAGCTCAGTCCGCTATTGCCATTCAGGCTCAAGGGCTTTGTCATGTTCTTGTGAGTGCAATAAAGCCAGACAATAATGTACACTTCATAATGATAGGCTAATAACAGTAGAAGGATGTCTATAAGTGCTTAAATAGCAGTGTTACAACAACCCCAATGCCATGAATTCCAATCAAATCGAATAGGTCTTTGAATAGCTTTGTTGCCCAAAGTGCATGGCTGCACTCTACATCCATGCTTTTATGGAAGCCCACAAACATCAATTCATGAGGCCAACATGTGGCACTTGCAACTGTCAAGAGCATAACGGGGAGCATGGGATGGTGTTGCAGGGGCATCATTAGCCACCAGCAAAGTTAGAAGAAATTCAGAAATGCAAGCCACGGTTGGTTGCAGTTCTTTCGATGCCTCAAATTAGGGCAGAGCCCACATGCAGCCCCAAAGAAGGCCAACGAGGTATGGGAATCAGCATGCCTCACTTCACTCCATCATGCCAATCAAGGCCAGCAAGAAAGCACCATTTGCTAGATATTCTTCAAGATTTCAAAGGCAGCTCATGAAGCAAACGTCCCTGGTGTCCAGTTGGAACCAGGGAAGATAGCAACATCAATCCCAATTCAATCCCAATTCTCAACTTACTAATCCCATTTCTCAACCTGTATTGCCTTCCCAACTGCCCCCTGTCCATGCCAGGTCAATTTCAGCATAGAATCAAATGGCCCTGTTACTTCTGTGGGGGCGGCACCCCTGTCCCATTAGAGGGGCAAGTACTGACCGTCTCGCACGTCAGAGCCCTAAGATTCCCTAACTGCGCGCAGAGCCTCCCTTTCAACCACACAGAGACACCGAGCTTTTCCGGATTTATATTCCCATCCTTGAAGCAAATGATCGTCGTTTTCGCTCACACTGGGGGGTATGCGCGGTGCCACCATATCGCCCAGCGCGCTCCCCACACCGCCGCGACACGAACAAGGCCCTTTGCGGGCATGTTCCGACAGAGCGGGGGCCACACAATGCTCACAGCCTTACCGGCTTCACTGCACAGCGGATAGCACGCACCCAACGCTCCCAGCCGGCCCTCCCCACCACGTTCTCCGTTACAATTTCTCTTTGTAACAAATCTCACCCCACCGCCGCGCTCTGTTGCTCTCCCTTTCTGTTACAAATCTCAACGCAAACCTGCGCTCGGTCGCTCTTTCTCTGTGCAACAAATCTCACCCAACCGCCTCTCTCCCCAACGCACCAAGCGGCTTTCCAATCAACCGGTCGCCACAGTGGGCGCAGGCAATCTCGATACGGGCCGAACGGAACGCACAATCAATCAGAGCCTCGAGGACCGCTGGGGCGATGCCACGTGGCCTCCACTTGCCGCTCCCCGTGCATGCCGCGCAAGGCGCCAAATCACATATCATCATCAGTTTGTCCACCACGCTGGGCAGCCTTCACAATTGCTTTGCGGGCTTTTGTTGTGTCAAGATGGCAGTGGCACATGGGAAGGAAGGCCCTCCCCACCAGGGCCTTGGACATCTGTATTCTGCTTAGAGCTGCATTACCTCGGCATCCAATACGAGGCGCCCGTTGAGGACGGGCGGGCTGCTAGCCGCTGACGGCAGCAGGTGCTGCCTCAGGTCGCCGGACATCCCGCCGCGCCCGGGCTGTCGGCTGTCTGGGACTCCCTGCGGCGCGGCAAGGCGGACGTTGGGACCCTGTCGCGGGTAAAGAGCCTGAACTGTTGGGCAGGGAGGGGTGTGTGCAGCTTGTTTGCTTAGCTCACGGGGTCACGATCCTGACTCGAGGCTGACGCGGTGGCTTCCGTGTTTGGTGCGGGTGGCACGCGATGAATCAGTAACGCACCGACGCCGTGTCGGCCTTTGGGCGGCTCAATTGCGCAATGAGCCTTTGGGCTGCGGCGACCCCGTGGGTACGGGAGGCATTCACGACGGCCACGCGCGGGGAAGACAGGTTTACGTCCGGCTTCCTGCGGCTTCCCGCCCAGGCACGCAGTGCGGCGCAAGTAGATGATATTACATAATACAACAATCCAAACGCAGTGTCCCCGAAGTACTCATTCATTGGAAAGTGTGCCTTGTCCGGTCCCTGTCACCTCGTGACTAAGCGATCTCCAAAAGATCAAATATCCAGCGCAGCCAATCCCCCCCAGGTGTGGGAGGGAGGGCGAAAACGAAGTGAGGTGTGTGCGTGCGCGCTGCCCCAAACGTCCCACTACCCTGCCAGAAACTACGGGCAGCACGCGTGCCCCAAAACTTTGCATTTCCAATGCATTGTGATCGTCCCATGGGCGCCCCCGCCCTTGCCGGTAGACAGGTACTAAGACCCAACCAGTATTTTTCTCCCGCCCGCCTTCGGGCCTCCCGTAAACTAGCTTACTCCGCAGACTCCGTAACCAACACTTACGTCCGGCTTCCTGCGGCTTCCCGCCCAGGCACGCAGTGCGGCGCAAGTAGATGATATTAGATAATACAACAATCCAAACGCAGTGTCCCCGAAGTACTCATTCATTGGAAAGTGTGCCAAGCTCCAAAAGATGACCCGCCCCAGCTTCAGGGCCCTGTGGACGGGCCGGGCTGGGGCGGGGGAGAACCAGAGGGTGCAGCAGGGAGCGCAGCCTCCGGTAGAGGCCCGAGAGCCGGTGGAGATGAGGAGGGGGAGCCGCGGAAGACATCTTGGATCGCGGCGCGGAGGTGGTCGGCGGGCGCCACCATCCACCCGAACAGGCGGAAGTCGAATTCGGTGGGTGTCCGCTGACGGTCGATGTAGCGCCAAAGGGCCTTGGATTCAGGCGCCCACCCGCCCCAATCGCGTATCCGGTTCTCAGGGACGAGAATCGAGAAGGCGGATGAAGCGCCTGTCCGCCGGGTACTGTGGTGGGTGAGATTGGGGGTGGGGAGATGTGCCGAGGCAGAGCCGAACCAGCCCCGAACAGCCGCGGCGGTGGGAGGCCGCCGATCGGCCGGTAACTACAGGAGGTGTAGAGGCCCAGCTCCCGGGCGGCGGGCCCACTGCAAAGCGCGGAGATCCCGGAAATGGCGGATCAGGGCAGGGAGCTCGGGCACCCCGCGGGTGTCAAATTTGCGGAGGCGCCACTGTAATTCCCTGGTCGCCTTGGTCTTGAACCGGCGTTCACGAAAAACGAGGAGATGGCCCGTCACGTAGAGGTCCTCGTTATATATCTCGTGGGCCGAATCGGCGCGTAGGAAGAAGATGGTGTCGAGGACTGCCGATAGGAATGGGCGCACGGTAGTCGCGGTGGAGGCTTGGAGTCCGAGGTGAATAAGACGAAACACCCCAGAGGCCGGAAAGGCCTGAATGGAGTCCCGGTACTCCTCCCCTGGGGCGTGCTGGCGCCATGCGTCGCGAAGCCGGGCGGTGATCGAATCATGGGCGTGGAAATGGCGAAGGCCCACCCAGCGGTGGACCGTAGAAATAGCCGAGACGTATTGGTCAAGGCTGCGCACGGCCACCCGGCCTTCCGCCCGGAGGAAAAGAACATAGGCGTATATCTGTTCCGGGGCAGCGGGGATCGCGCGCCAGCCCCGCCGGGCGCACATACCGGCAAACTTCAGGAATTTGTGCCAAATGCTCCGACGTCCCGACTCCGCGTTGGCGTCCACTTGGTCGCGAATGATCGCCCAGCGTTCCTCCGGGGTAAGGCGCAACAGGTTGCCGAACTGAGAAGCCGTAGTATCCACGATCGGCAGGAGGTGGCGCAAAATTTCGGACGTGGTCTGGCTGGCTACTGGAAGGCAGGTGGCGGGCAAGGGGGGTAGGCCGAAGGGGTGAGGCGCGGTAGAATCCGTAGGGCCATCACGTGCCAGTGAGCCGCTTGCACAAAGGTACCCCCCAAATGCCCGGCACGAAAAAAGTCCCTCCGCGGTGGGTAGACGATCCGATCGGAGGCCAGGGCTGTCAAACGCCGGTACCAGGGCGCAGCCGGCCACATTGGGGCCAGCACCACCGCCTCCGCCCAAGGATGAGCCTCCAGAAAGGCAGTTAGACGGGGAAGCTGGGAGAAGGGGGGGTTGCACCAGCTCCGCTCCCACTCCCAGTCCCGCTGAGCAAATGCATCGATCCCCCCGGTCATCGGGCACCACCATCGAGAGTTGAAGCGGGGAACCATTCGGTTCTCCATGGTGGCAAAACGGTCCACTGTGAAGGGGCCCCAACGCCGCTGGAGGGCTGCAAACACTCCCCGGTCGATCGCCCAGTCCTCGGAATCTTTTTCGCGGGACAGGGCATCGGCCAGACGGTTCTCGTCGGTCGGGAGCCAAATGGGGGCCACGCTTAGAGAGAGCGAGTCGATCAGATACATGACTTTGCGGAGTGCGTCCATGAGTGTGCTCGAGGGGTCGTCCTCTTCGTCAGAACTGCTTTTACCACCTGACTGTCCGTGTAGAGGTTGACTCTGCGACCCCGAAGACGTTCCCCGAAGGAGAGGAGAGCGCATTCCACGGCCCCCATCTCCTTCAGGTTGATGTGACTGCGGCGATCTAACAGGCTCCAAAACCCGCGGGCCAGAATGGGGCCCTCCGCAGCCAGATCGAGCGTGGCCCCCCACCCGTAATCCGAGGCATCGGTGTGGAGAACTGCTGATGCCGGTGGGTGCCACAGGGTGGTCGTCGTGTTGGTGGGCCCCAGGGCCTTCCAGAACTAGAGGTCCCGGAGGCTTTGACGGGAGAGGCGCACCCGGCTGCGCCAATTCCCGCGCGAAGCCAGGTCGTTGAACAGGCTCCGAAGATAGAACCGGGCCGCCGGAATCGGGAGGCTGAGGGATTGCGCCCAGCCGCAAAAGGCTGCAAGCTCCCTCGCCTTGATCGTCCGGGCGCTTGACGGGGCCCGGAGCAGAAAGTTCGACGCGTCCTGTCGAATGTTTTTGACTTTGGCCGGAGGGGCGAGGGCCAACCCCTTGGCCATGTCCAGGATCACCCCCAGGTAGGGGGTAGACTTGTGTTGGAGTCCAGGTGCACTTGGACTCCTTGAGAGTGATGTTCAATTGGTCCAGAACTGCCCGGGTTAGCGTCCCCCATTGGTGTGTCTGCAACCGCGTGAGCATCTCCCCGGCAAAGTCGTCCAGATAGGGACACAAAACTGGGGCCGGGTTGGCATCCCAGTAGGCCCCCAAGGCCCCCTTCGGGCGGCGGGGGGCCGCAGCCTGGGGGGCTCGCAGGAATGCGACCAATGGCCGCATTATCTTGGTGAACGCCGGAGGAGAATTCCTCCAGCCGAAGCACAGGTTCGGGTATTCGAACACTTCCCCGTTGATCTGAAACTGGAAGAAGCACACGCTGCGCTCCTCGACGCGAAGATGGTGGAAAGCGTCGCGCACGTCCCACCCCACTAGATGCTGTCCCGGCTGGAGCTGCGGTAAGAAGGTGTGCAGCGTCTCGTAGCGCGTGTGCCAGGCCGCGCAGTGCTGATTGACGTGCCGAAGATCGATGACGAGTCGGCAGCCGCCGTCCTTCTTGGGAATAAGGAATGCGCGGGACACAAAGCGAGGGTCCCTGGCTGGACGGATGGCCCCTGTGGCCAGGTAATGGCGGCGAAGCTCTGTCCAGGCCGTGAGCTGGGCCCCCTCCACGCGGCAATTCCCATGGTGAAAGGGGGCTGGAGGTCCCGCCAGCCAGTGGACAGGGACGCCCTGGTGGATCCAGCGGAGCACCTCCGTCGAGGCGCCGATCTGTCTCCAAGCGCCGATGGCGCGGGCCATTCTGTTGGCCAGAAATTCGCGGGGATTGATCCCCAGTGCAGTGTAGATTGCCCGTTCCCATTGGCGCGCCTGATCGTAGGCCATCGTCGGGCACCCGGGCTGTGCTGGGCCTGTCCGAAGGCCCATTGTCGTGGACGGCGAGTTGCTTCAAGGCACTCGCAATGTCCCTGAGCTCCTTCTTGGAGCTCATGCAGCGTCGGCAAACGGGTTGCCGGAGGTAGACCCCGACGTCCCCTGATCGCTTTGACTTCCACGGCCGCTCTGATAAGATCGATGGCCCCCTCCCCGGTTACGGCCTCCGCCACCCCGCCGGTGACCTGCCGAGTTTCCTTGGCTGAAAGAATGGGCACTGCGGGTCTGTTGCTAGCCCCGCTCGCGGGAGTCCGCCTGGGCGCGAAGGGAGGATTTTTGAATCTGCTCCCGAAGCTTGTCGGTCGTGTTGCGTACAAGCTTGGGGGTGTACTCAGAATCCTGTGAACCCAATCGAACGCTGGTTGCCAGCGTCTTCCAGGCGTGTTCGAGCGGGGTACTGGCGTGCGCAGCCTGGAGACGCCGCTGAACCAAAGTGACGACAGAAAGGTCGACCGCCTTGGCGAGGACCGCGCACACTCCCACCAGTGTGCTTCGAACAGGGCCTTGTAGCTCCTCCGACTGAGCGAGCTCGATCAGATGCACCAGTAAGTCGTAGAAGAAAGAAACTGACGGGGCCCAGTTGGAGTACTCGGCGAAGAATCCACTCTTGGGGCCCAGCGCCTGTGCAATCCGCTGGCCGTCGGCGGTGTTAAGGACGTCGAACCATGCCCCAAACTGCGCACCTTCCGGACGCTTCACCGGGTTCTTTCGAGCAGGAAGGATATTGGCCCCGGAGTGAAGGAACAGACGATCCTCCGTGGGCAGTGGATCGGTAGAAGCGCC